GTGCTGCATATCTCCGCAAACAAGGCGTGTACGTGTTCCCGTACCTCGACGATTGGCTGATCCGAGGTCGCTTGTACGGGCAGGTAGAAGCTCACGTGGCACTCACAAGAGCCCTCTTCCTAAGGTTGGGACTCATGATAAATGTCGAGAAGTCATCCCTGACTCCCTCCCAACAGATAGAATTCGTGGGAGCCCTCCTCGATTCGAGGGTGGCAAGGGCGTTCCTGCCCAAGAGCAGGTTCCTCTCCATAGTGGAGCTGATCTCGGGGTTAACCCTATCACGACCTCTCGGGTCTGCTCCAGGCTCCTGGGCCATATGGCGGCGTGTAAGTACACGGTCCGCCATGCCAGATTGAGGATGAGACCCCTGCAGGCGTGGTTGGCGAGGGCCTTCAGCCAGTCCAGGGGTCTTTGGGACTCAATAATTATGGTGCCCACAGAAATTCTGGACTCCCTCCTATGGTGGACCCAGGAAACTGTGGTATGCAGCGAGGTTCCTTTCAATGCTCCTCCCCCCCTCCCTGACGCTGGTCACCGATGCGTCCGACCTGGGCTGGGGAGCACACCTGGGGCGGCACAGGACTCAAGGCCTTTGGTCCCCCTCCGAGCGAGCCCTGCACATAAATGTCCGGGAATTGCGGGCGGTGAGGAGAGCCTGCGAAGCCTTCCTGCCAAGGCTCTCCCACCACTCCATCCTGGTTCGTACGGACAACACAGTGGCAGTCTTTTACCTCAACAAGCAGGGGGGGGCGCGATCACCTCCCCTCTGCAAAGTGGCCCTGAAACTTTGGCATTTGTGTGTCACGCACAGTATCACACCTCAAGCGGAATATCTCCCGGGGTGCAAAAACCTGCTAGCGGACACGCTGAGCAGATCCTTTGGAGCCCACGAGTGGACCCTCAAGGACTCTGCTCTCCGCCAGGTTTTCCGCAGGTGGGGTTATCCCCGCCTAGACCTGTTCGCCTCGGCAAACAATGCCAAATGCAAAACCTACTGCTCCCTGCTGGGGCTGGGGAAATATTCCCTGGGGGATGCCCTGACGACCGTGTGGCCAGAGGCACTCTATGCCTTTCCCCCATTTCCCCTAATTTCCAGGGTATTGACCAGGGCAAGGACATTTCGGTCCTTGATCATTCTCATAGCCCCCAGGTGGCCCAGACAGTTCTGGGTCCCCATCTTGGTGGACATACTTGTCCAGAACCCAATAGCATTCCTTGGATCTGCTAACTCAACCCTGGGGCGAGTTTTATTCATTGCCTTCTCATTATTTTATAATGAGAGGAAGTAAACAGGAACATCCAATCTACCCACCCTAGACCATTCAGCATTTTGTATCTTTCCATCATATCTCCTCTTACTCATCTCTGCATAATAAACAGTGACAGTCTTTTCAGTCTCTCTTCATTCAGAAGTCTGTTCTGGCTTCTGATCATTCTTGTCACCCTTCTCTGAACCACCTCCATTGCTGCTGGAGTCTTTTTGAGCAGAGAGTGTCTAAAAGTGAACACATCACTCCAGGTGATGACATACCAGTCATTTACATAATGGCATTCTTGTATTCGCTGTATTGTTTTTATCTCATGTCTAATGGATCCTAGCACTTTGCTTACTTTTATGTTGCTTCCATCGTGGCCATTACATCGGCTCGAAGGGTGTTGGAACTAAGGGCGCTAACTGTAGACCTGCCCTACCTTGTTTTTTCTCATAACAATGTAAGGCTCTGGCCTCATCCAGCCTCCCTCCTGAAGGTGGTATCACCATTCCACCTGTCCCAGGAGATTTATCTCCTGGTTTTTTTCCCAAAACCTCACGCCTCCTCTAAGGAGCGGGTGCTTCACTCCCTGGACGCCAAGCGGGCGCTGGCGTTCTACATTGATAGGACCAAGCCGTTCCGTAAATCACCTAAAGAGCGGGTTCTGCACTCCCTGGACGCCAAGTGGGCGCTGGCGCTCTACATTGATAGGACCAAGCCGTTCCGTAAATCACAACAGTTGTTTATTGCATTCAGTGACAGGGTCAAAGGGTCGCCTATATCCATGCAAAGGCTATCAAGATGGGTGGTGCAATGCATCACAGAATGCTATCACCTGGCTGGTAAAACCCCACCCAGGGTGAAGGCACACTCCACCAGGGCACAGGCATCCTCGGAGGCCTTTGGTGCCCAGGTACCGATCACAGAAATTTGCAGGGCAGCCACCTGGTCTTCCCTTCACACGTTTACAACACACTATGCGCTACCTCAGCAGGCCAGGGCGGATGCAAGGGTGGGCTCTGCAGTCCTCGAATCTGTGATGTAAATATGT